CAATCCAAAAAAATGGCCATGCCGTTAGATCACGCATCTGGAAAAACTTTGAAGGTACCAGCATTTGACGGAGAGATGTCCTGGAACGTTTATAAAACCCAGTTCGAAGCAGCGGCAACTAGTAACTGTTGGAACGGAAAAGAACGAGCAACAGCACTGATACTGGCCCTGCGAGGTTCAGCAGCAGAGGTTCTTCAGACGATTCCGGCGGAGAACCATTTCAACTATGAAGTTCTGGTTAGCGCGTTGGATTTAAGTTATGGTGAAGAACACATGAAGCAGATTTATCGGTCTCAACTTAGAAACAGAACGCAACGATCTGGTGAATCCATTCAGCAGCTGGCACAAGATATCGAACGGTTGACATTGCTGTCGTATCCAACATCAGACCCCGAGCACAGAGACGAAACTGCCCTGGATACGTTTATCAAAGCCCTTCGTGATTCGGAACTCAAGCAATCCCTTCTCTTGTCAGATAAACGAAAACTCAAGGATGCCGTTGCGCACAGTCTCTTTTGAATCGGCAAAGCAAGCATCAAAAAGTGACGTACGTCTACGCCAAGTACATGAAGAATGCTCTTGCCAGAAGGTGATTGTGAAACGCGAACCCCAACAGCATGGTGTACCCCAATGCTGGATTTGTGGCAAAAAAGGCCATCTACGTCGTGATTGTAAACACCGCCTAAAAGATAACTACTGCCGAAATTGCGCGACAAGATGGCGCAAAAGAAGAGAAGATGATCCCGTATCACGATCGGCCCCTTCTAACGAAGGGGCGGAAAACTAATAAGAGCCAACTTTGTGGGGCAGAGGTTGGCTAGTAGAATTGACGCCCCCAGTACCGTAATTAACGTTTCCAGACTACATCGAAATCGAAACGACTTATGGCTGAACGGAAAAGTTGATCAACGAGAATGCGTAATTACAGTCGACACCGGAGCAACAAAATCGATTTTAAGATCTGATTTGGTACCCAATCTGAAGAAAGAGACTTCTAACAAATACATCC